GCTTTATTTCTTTTGATTTTAACATAAAGTGATTTCTTGTCAATTTCTTCTCGACTTTTACCCAGAACTCTGCATATATCACTGTGAATTGAATTGATGTTCCCTTTGCATCTCTCATATATTTCGACCACTAATTTGTTGGTTAGGGACATTTTGGTTATGATAAGTTAGTTTTAACAAATATATTTACCCTATATACACATATACTATGTTGGCTGTTTTGAAAGAAATGATGATATTGCATGTTAGTAAAACGAGACAAACACTAGACGATGGACACACATCACACACATATATAATTCATACTGATAGTGTCACCTGCATTGGTATTATTTTTATTTCAGACTGACAGATGGACAAGTGCCATAATAAGTGATCCCTCTGTATTATTTAATAAATACATACCTTAAAAGCTCAACTGAATAAATCTTTTTTTTTTTGTTTTTTTTCTTTTCTTTTCTTTTTTTTTTCAATGTCTTTAGGAAAAATCCTCAATGAAGAAAAACCAAATATGAATCTGAAAATAAAATTCATAATATATATTTAATTATTTATCATATTTGAAAAAAAAATTTTCATTAATAATTTCAAAGAATTGTAATAAATTCTTACATTTTATATGTGGCAAACTTTATAATTGTTCTTCTAAATATTGTAAAGAAATTACCCTTGAGTTTTCCAACAAGGGGTATGTACAGGAATAAACAAACAAGCGAAAGAATATTTACACACAGTCTCTGGCTAGGTAATCACTGAAATCTGGAAGAAAACAATTTTTAGTAATTCTTGCAAATAATTGTATGGAAGCATTGATATTTTATGAAATTCTATTTACCTTGATTATCCAGGAAAGTTTATTTACACTTCATAAAGCATCCCAATATAACTGGTGAAATTTGTCTGAAAAAGATATATAAATCACTTTTTTCTTATGATATATTGAAAAAGACTATGATGAAAGGGAGGTAACTCAATTATTAGAATGGTTGAAACTATTGGGAGGCATAAAAGTAATTGAATAAATTAAACTCTAACTTGATTTTTCGCAAATATGTATTTTAATATCTTAAATTTACATATATCAGTTAATTATTGAAGGAAACTATGAGTGTGCCCTCGTGTTGCCATTATAATATCAATTTTCCATGTCACATTACTGAGGCATTAATCTTTAAAAAATCAGCAAGAGAAAGCCATAGCTTCCAAAATTTCAGTAATCGTACATATTGTAGCAGTATGTCTACCGCTTACGAAAATGTGTGAAACTTGAGCGTACCCTATCATTATCCTCCAAAAAAAAAAATATTCATATTTTCATTACGCCCGTGTACATAATAAAATACCATTATTCGTGCTTTACGCGATTTTCCAAGAACAAAACACTGTATAAAAGATGATATATACTCAAAACTTACCAGCATTACTCAATTTTTGTTATGTCAAAGTCCTATCTTATTTTATATAATTTATAACAAAAAATACTTACTTACTCCGAGCCATATGAAGTCAACATGGCCGACTCCGAACAGTTCTGCAATAGATTAGAGTTATCGTTCTTGGCAAAGATGGCGTTATCTGGAAAGGCTAGTCCAGTGTTTACTTCTCCCGTAAACCGGAAATACTGTCTGCTACGTAAAAACAAAATCGGAACGGGTCTATAACCATCCCATAACAGTTAATATTTGTGATAGTTTCCCATGGTAATGCTAATATAATTGCACTTTATAAGAAAATACACAGGGTAATATTTATGGCAACATTCTCATTTTCTCAAACAAAATTAAACACACCTTCTCAAAAATTTTCCTACTGATCATAGATATTTCATCTATGACTAGCAAGTCGCATTTCTGAATTCTGGCCTTGGTTTCTTCACTGAGGATTTTTAATAAGTGCTGGTTTTCAAACCTTCCATCTCCTAGCCCTGCCCAGTGGTGAATAGTTGTGGCGCCTTGGAATTGTCGTGCCGCCAAACCCGTGCTAGCGGTTACGGATGCACGTTTGTCTTTAATTCTTTTAAGCATTTCCTTTATTAGATATGACTTTCCCGTCCCCGCCTGTCCCAAAATTACACAACTATGTCCACTTTCAATTAAATTCAAAGCCCTCGACTGTTCTTTAGTAAGCATGGTAAGCCTACAAAGTTTTCCCGCAAAGCTTCTGTTCTGTTTCAATATGTTAACCAATCAGATTCATGCAGGGAATTCCCATTAACATAATGATGTAAACTTCCGGCCCCCCTTTGGCGATTTTTCGCATATCTGAAGCAGTAGATAGTAAACGAGGAGAGATTTTAATTAATTGCAAACGAAATGTGCTGATTTGGTTGAATAGGTCGTAAGTATAGATGTTGAAGGACCTGCCGCTACACGAAGAGGATCGCAAAGTTATATTGTCATTCCGTTTCGAGCGAAAAATCGTGCTGATGTGGCTGGCCTAGAAAAATTCAAGATGGCGCCTTGGGGACCTTGGTTTATTATAAGGTAAGGGTATTTTTTTTCTATTAAAAGAAAAATAAGTAACGTCAAGTGCCTGTGTTCCCAAGTGAAACTACATGGATGTTTTGATTCAAATTGATGACGTACAATCTGATAACGTAGCACTGTTGATGTTGATATGCCTCGAAAGAGAGTGAGTAGATCGTGTTCAAAATTCAGAAATTTAGCCATCTGCGTTTTTGAAATTTTTTTTATGGCTATTGCTGGAGCTTTACATCAAGCGAACATCTATCTCAAAGTTGTAATGACCCAGGGTCATAAAAATTACTCTTTGTATGTTGGCAACTTACAAACGTACTAGGCAAGGCTACTTGTAGATTCGTTACACCTACATTACTAGGTAGACATATGTAGTATATAAGCAAGCATTACTGAAGATGTTAAAGGAATCTTATACATGTAAAATGATGTTAACTGTTAGGCTTTACTTTATCTGAAAACTATTTAAATGAAGGAGAGGGCGGGGTAGAATCCTTCTTCAAGTAGCCAATTCAGGAACAGACTTAGACTTGAATCAAAATTTCAATTATCTATAAAATCTTTAAAACCTGTTAAAACAGGTCACGGTTGCCTAGTGGTAGAGCGTTCGCTTCGTGATCGGGAGGCCCGGGTTCGATTCTCGTTCGCGGCGCCGCGTCATACCTAAGACGTAAACAAAGGTAGTGACTGTTCCTTCGCCAAGCGCTCGGCACTAGAAGTGAAAGTCACGGGTCTTTCGGATATGACCTTAAAAACGTAGGTCCCGTGTCACGGTAGGCGCTGGCACGATAAAAAACTCACACTGCTCAATGGCCCTGAGTGCCGAGTATAGGTCTAAATTTGAAGCCCTTCACCGGCACACGGTGACGTCTCCATATGAGTGAAAAATTCTCAAGAGGGACGTTAAACAATATACAATCAATCAATCAAAACCTGTTAAAGGAAACTCATAATTTGCATGCAACAGCAGGCTGATGATACCAAATCGGAAAGCATTTTCATTTTGGGCTGCTTGACCTCTAAAAAATTTCAGCATCTTAGGCATCTTTTGACTTAGGCTTAAGATGCTTCATGATCCCGGGGCCAGGTACTTTGCTAAACAAGCCACTTCTTCGACATATACAACTTTTTTTCAAGCTTTTAACGACGCTTTTACTCTAACTCATTCATTTTAAATAGGCAAGACTTTATGCAAATAAAAGTTTTGATAAAATAAATTTTAAAGCGAAAAATCGTATCGAAACTGGAAGTACTATTAATAAAACATCTACCAGTAGATGAAGCATAGGTTTTTACAACGGTTAATTTCATTCACCAACACGTATGAGATGAATAAAAATATCAGTTATAATATTATACAACCCAATCTCCGCAGCTAGGATAAGGCTGCCCGTAAAATATCAAACTGTTCAAACTGTAGTAACTTCTCTGAACTACCTAGATATGACGTCATAATAGAATATGACGTCAAGTCACTGCATACTTGAGCTGACATGACGGGGAAAGTGTCATAATTATTACACAGCATGTAGATTTATCATGGGGATTTGTGTTTAATTCAAGAGTAAGGTTTGTTTTTATAAGCTTGTATGTGCTGTTATAATGTTATCATGTGATATTTAAATATCTCAATTCATTTTGCTTGTCCGATATGCATATATTCAAGTAATAGCAAAAAATAATGTTTGAAACGCTCCCCTTACACTTCCGTAGACAGAGATAGAATTTATGAATCGTGTTTATGTTGGACTGGCACAAGTGAAAGACAAGGATAAATTGAAGATATTTTGCGTGAATCTAAAAGAGAAGTATGTCTTCTAACTCAATTTTGCTGGGGGATCGTATGTATTTTATCCGTTTTTGTATAAATCGCGATTAAGAGTGGAAAATACCCCTTCTTACGTTAGTAATTGTAATTCATCGTAAAATATTTTCTTAAGAAGAAAAAATTAAACCTGCCCCCAGCAATTTTTAAGTACCATGGATCACGATGAATTGATCTATATAACAAACTTTGCACAATAATTGTGCTATGCACTTGTGCCGATGCGATTTTTGTGCAATATTTAAGAATATCAAAAAATGTCAGTCACGTGATCAACACAGTCATCTGACATCACAGAAATGCTTTATTATAAGACCTGATTAAACTGTTATCTCAAGTTGACTGCAATTTCAAACAAGGATAACATATTGAAATTAAAATCTAGCTCAAAATAAAATGTATATTTTTAAGACATTTTAAGCCTTCGGACAGCCTTATCATAACTGCGTCCCTAACATCAAGTTATATCGGGTTTAAGTGTTTATTTCTTTCTAAAAACCTATCCATCTAGGAACTAAAGAAACGAAAGAAATAAAAAAGTCTGTGGCCTTATGATTTTTTAATATACAATATGTTTTTTGATGACCAAGACTATACAGAAACGATTTAATTATAGATACACACTAGGTCACAGCATCAAGTACTTCAATACAAATTGATTTAATATCAAACTCATTTATTCTAATTAAAAGGCAAGTACAGGGAAGAATTTTCCATCCTTCCTTAAATGTATGATACACAATGATGTAAGAGTTTTCTTTAGACATTTATTTATTTGGAAATGATATCACCCTAAAAAATGAAAGTTATTTACGTTTTATGGCTAGTATTCTTTTTCATGTTCATGACTCGATCACAGAAAGGACCTTGCGCGGATGACAGGTAAATTTTTAACGAAATATAATTAGTTTCCTGAGAAGCGATACTTGTTTCAGGAAAGACGCATTTTTATCATCTTCATTTGTACTACTAACATTATTAATAGGAAAGATGGCTGCTGCTATGGAACAGTTTGGGATTCAAGTCTTAGGAAATGTACAGGTAATATGTTGTGACTCTAACATGTAAAAAAATCATTTTTTAAAGGTTTAAAAAATAAGTTAAGTGTAGCAATTCTCTTCCTATTCCTCTCTGGTTCTATAAGGAAAGTGCTTCGTTCTCTAAAACATATTCTATAAAGTTCATTAATAAGAAATACAAAAACTTTATAAAAGATGTTTGGATTTATCTGAAACTCATTGGTGTTTAAAACTTCTTGAATTCCAAAAGTGTAGAAAAGTCACTTTTAATTTTAATATATGCATTACAGAATGTCAAATTGGCTTCTTGGGAGAGTTTTGTATGGAGAAATGCAGGCCTCCTTATTATGGTAAAAAGTGCCAAAATGAATGCACGTGTAACGATAGCATGTGCGATAATGTGAAAGGTTAACACTGTGCCGGATAATTATGCCACTTCAAAAGTGGCATTTTGGCGCCCGCCAAATCCTCACTTCACATGAAAATCATGCATACCAAGTGGTAGACCATCACTCACAGAGTTCATAACTACCTTTGTTACAGGTAAATCTCACCTGTCAGGTGAGATAATCACCTTTGAACAAAAAATTCCCATAGGAAAAATAAAGTTCCTGTAGGAAAAATAAAAATCCTGAGGGATATTATCAAAATCCTGCAGGATTTCTTAATTTCCTACAGGATATTTAAAAATTCCTGTGGGACTTAAATTTACCATGGGAGAATTTAATTTCCTAAGGGAATTTATTTTCCCACAGGAGAAAAATAAATCCTATGGGAGAAAATATATCCTATAGGAAACAAAATTTCTCCTAAGGGAATTTTTTTCTCCCTAAGGAAAAAAAATTCCCTTAGGATAAAAATTCCCATAGGAATTTGAGAGTTATTCCTATAGGATTATTTTTTGTGCCATCTTCGTCTTAATTTCATAATCTTAGTTTTAAAAAAAAATCCCTTAGGAATTTAAAATATTATTCCAATAGGATTTTTTGTATCTACCCATTTTGAGTATGTTGTACTGTTTCCTCTTATTTGTGTGTGGATATCAGTGTTTAACAAGAACATTAGCCCTAAGAATCTTGAATCCCTCTTCTGATAAATTGTAAAATCTATCACAAAGCCTTGAAATTCCAGTAGTAGGTCATCATTACCTACATTTTGGTTAAAACACTCTGAAGACCTATGATGATGCATCAACTGACAAAGGATGATGATTCCAAGCCAATAAGTACCGGAGATGTTTAAGGAATCACTGTCTAGTTAGTGTTGTATGCCAGGGCATCAACGATAGTGGGAAACATGGGATAATCTGCATAACGGGCTTCGAGTAAAATTTCCATTTCATTGTGAAATATTAAAAATTGTAGATTTAGAATTTAAAAATGTAGACTAATAGATTTAAATTACACAAGGACTCCCATGCCAATTTTCAATAGTCCTCGCCCACTGACGTCAAACACAAAGACAGACGTGCAAGATTTACATGCATATTTGGCCTCCATAGCATCAGACACAGAGACAGATGGGCACGAGATTTGCATGCATATTAGGCCTCCTTAGCTCCTGACCAATCGATCTGGCTGCCTAATTTCCATTCCGGCAGAATTATCAAAAAATAAATTCCCCTAACTTTCAAAGAGTTATCACAGACAAAAAAATTAGAAATGGAAATATTTAAATATAGCCATAAAATTCAAAATGTAAGTCTTTGTGACCTACTTTTTAGTTGATGTTATCTGAAGACCCAGTTTGCTAGGTATTCCTAATATGTAAAATTTTGATTCCCTACTGTGGCCCTATCCTTCCCCTAAGGGTCATGATTGCATTGATTTGAAGAAGAAAAAATCACCTACACTACATGAGGATGTTTCCATATCAAAAGGATTAAATCATGGCTTCTCTCTAAAATAAGATTTTAAACTTTTATATATATATTATAATATATATATTGCTGTGTAAAACTTTGATTCTCTATTGTGACAAACTTGAATCTATACTGCATGATGATACTTCCATATCAAAATGACTGATCAAATCTTTGTTGTTCTTGATTAAATGATAAAAAAAAAATACAGGGTATTCCTATGTACAATTTTGACCTCCTATTGTGGTCCACCCTAATCCCCAGAGTCATGATATAAACAAACTTGAATCTACACCACTATGTAATAAATGTTTCACATAAGTTTAAACTTTTATTTGCCAATGAATGGTTCTTGGGAAGATTTTTGAAAGATGGCTACAAATATACATATTTCTTTATTAACTCCCCTTTAAATATGTGCCATTATCTGAACAAATCTTATTTAAAATTCTTACACTGACAAGATAGCCCTAATTTTTCAATCAAAATGTTATCAGATAGACTGTTATGTGACAGAATGTGGCCTAAGTTACGTGTGCAAATTGTGTTAATCCGTTTGCACGGTACGAACCATCCGTACTTACAATGACACATTCAAGGCACTTCCGTCTGCTAACTTTTGGTCTTGGTAAAGTTGGTGGTGATGTTAATGGAGAAATTCACACAGTTCAAATCAAGAAACTCAAACAAAATGATTTACACTTGCATGAATTATCCCTTCAATGATGATCAATCTTCTTCAGTTCTTGTTCTTACTTTCGATTTCATGCTCTTTTTAATAAAGCGTTTTACTGACTTAATTGGATCATATCAGGGTATACGAACACTCAATCGCATCATCTCGGGTCTTTCCGTCAGAGGTCGGAAAAGCAACCTCGTTTTTCCGCTAATCGGAAAGGCCCGAGAAGTTGCGATTGGGTGTACCCCTGTAATAGAACTCAAGGGGGGAGGGGGGATACAAACACATATACTGTTTAAAGGATAAGATAGGACAAGTAATGTCGCATGGCCCCCAAATTTCTCAGAAAATAGATTACTTGTAAATAAAAAGACACACAGGAAGAAACAAGACCTTTCAGTTAAAACTGAAAGGCGGCTTTCAGTAACTTTTCAGTGGCAATTCAGCCACTGAATGGCACATACATTTCAGTGACCTTTCAGTTGCCATTCAGTCACATTTCAGATACCTTTCAGTCACCATTCAGCGGACACATTTCAGTCAACTTTCAGTGGCCTTTCCATCAACTTTCAGTGACCTTTCCATCAACTTTCAGTGACCTTTCCGTCGTCTTTCAGTGACCTTTCCGTCGACTTTCAGTGACCTTTTTGTCATCTTTCAGTGACCATTCCGTCGACTTTCAGTGACCTTTCTGTCGTCTTTCAGTGACCTTTCCGCCACCTTTCAGGTTTAAATCACAATTTAGTAATTTTTTCACTAGCGTATTATTTTATAATCAGATATCATAAATATGTCTAGGTTATTATTATTGATAATTACAAGAATAAATAAATCGTTTATACATTCCTCTTGTAAAAAAAAATATATAGGAGATTTAAACTTTCTAATGTTATTGCTTTAATAAAATCATTCTACTAAGTTTTAGATAGAGAATTTACAATGATCTTAAATCTTTGACACAGGAACAGGTGCCCGTCTCTGATAATTGTCATCATCCTTATAGGAAATGTGTAATTAATTTGTCTATCCCCAAAATAAAATATGTGTGACTTATTCAAAATGATTTTAATTGAATATTTCTAGTTACATTAAGAAAATAAATTCTTCAAGTGATAAAAAATGATGATCCGATAACCGATTCAAAATTTGAATAAATGCATAACATTCTATAGTGCTTATACGTGTATTTTTTCATGGAAGTAAATAGTTCAGATTAATGAGACAGAATTAATATTATTTAAACCATTTCTGGAATATCGCAAGTATAACTGATCAATTTCGTTTCTTAATTATGTCATTGTCAAAACTGCAGGATATATATTTATTTTTTCAAAGACATTATTTTAAATTAATTTTTAATTACAAGAATAAACAAATCGTTTATACATGCCTCTTGTAGAAAAAAATATATAAGAGATTTAAGCTTTCTAAATGATATTGCTTTAATAAAATCATTCTACTAAGTTTCTAGCTAGAGAATTTACTACGATCTTAAAAATCTTTGACACAGTAACAGGTGCCCGTCTCTGATAATTGTCATTATCCCGATAGGAGATGTGTAATTAATTAGTCTGTCCCAAAAATCCGCACAACTAACATAGAATATACAAAAGATATACAAGATTATACACATCGCAGCTCCTCGATACTACAGGTGAACTGATTGTTCCATCGATTTCAATAACTTAATTGATTTTAAATCATCATTTGTCAACAAGAAGTAATAGCGTAATTGATAAGTTCGCGGACACCTACGCAGGAGACCCGGGTTCGATTCTGGACGTGGGAGCAATTTTTTTTTCTTGTATTAATTTTTTCTTATTTTTTTTTATTCGGAATTAGATACATTTAATGCTATTATACCAAGAAAAAGTGAAATAAAATTTTTAGGTTAAAAAATAAGCCGATTATTCTATAAAATGATTCAACTGAATGATCACGGAAAGGTCACTGAAATGTATGTGCCATTCAGTCGACTGAATGGCAACTGAATGATCACGGAAAGGTCTCGGGAAAGGGTCTTTTCAGTGACCTTTCAGTGACCATTCAGTGGCCATTCAGCCACCATTCAGTCGACTGAATGGGGGATTTTCATCCGTACACCCCAGTCTTTTGAAAGATGGAAACACCTACTTTTTATAGAACATATTAGATTTCTTCTCATTCGTCCATAAAATGAATTTTAGAGGACTTTGTTTCTACACGATCACGAAAAATAGTAAGAATATGCAGTATTTTCAGCATTCTTACGCTCTAAAAACTATGAGCGACTAAGAGAACCACGAAGATATTTTGTTATTTGAGAGCAATACATAAGTACTTGCTTTGTATAAAAAATCTTCGTGGTACTCTTAGTCGCTCATGTTTAAATATTAAAAAAATCAAGAAAAAAATCGTGTTAATTTTATAAAACTCGATTGATAATGATCAACCTGCTTTTTTCCGGATTAACAATGTGACGGGTATGTTATGTTATACAAGCTGCTCCTTGTCAAACGGTTGTTATTTGTAATTTTTTGCGCAAGAAACATAATTTACACACGTTTTTCAAACCAACAATCGTCTCGGATAAGGAAAAAGTTGTTTAGAATTAATAAACTCACCGGTGATATTTCAAGTCAAAATAGCTCAGTCGTGCGACACTGCTGACAGGACATGCCATAGAAATTTCGACTGGATTTCCACTTTCCTGATAGGATCAGTCATGTTTTGGTGAAAAATCAAATGAATATTTTCCTGCATGCAATGATACTAATCGAAATTATCCACGATACTATTTCCACTTGAGGTATATCACGAAATTACGATGAGTACGAAGCGTCTGCTGTACGACGCCATTTTTGTTTTGAGTGGGAGCGGATCAAATCCAC